TCAGAAAGGGCGTCCACCCCGTGTCCTGGCCCTCTCCTGGCTGGGCGGGGCCGTCACGGGCCGCAGAGGCCGGGATCCCACAGGGCTCCGTCGCGCGCTCTTCGTCCCAGGCTTCTGAGTCCCGCCAGCGCGCACGGGGGACCGGCCACACCTGCCCGGGGTCCCTGCGGACACGCCGTCCTGCCCGAGGGCAGCCACCCGGCTCGCCCCGGAAGCCAGCGGGCCCTGCCTCCTGGACCCGTGGCCCCGCACCGCGCCGAGGCTGCGGCCGTCCTCGGGCAGGGTTAAACATTCACCTTCGCTTAGACTTCTGCCCAAGACACGGAAGCCGGCCTGCGGACGCAGCCGAGGGAAGAGGCCCGGGCAGGGGCGTCGGGCACACTCAGCGCCCAGAGAGCAGAACACCATGTTTCGCTCGCTCACGTCCGCTAAACCCGCTAGCACACTGGCCTCGCAGGCAAAGTCCAGCCGGAGGCCACAGCTGCCCTTCCAGGGCTCTCGTCCACGGCAGGCCCTCCCCGGCGCACCTGCCCTCACCTCCCCGGCACACCTGTCCCCCTGCACACCTGCTCTCCGCTCTGCCCCCTGCTCAGGGGTAAGCCTGGCTTTGCGGGCGGCCCCGGGGTGGGAGTGGCTGCTTCGGAGCCCGGCCGGGCTGTCCCCTCCCCCATCCTCCTCCGCCCGGATGCCCCGTAAGCTCCTGCCTTCAAACTCTTTGCACAATTGAGATTTTATTAAAATACGAGCTGTGTGCGTCAGGTCCTTGCTGCGCGTAAGTTGGGCCTGTCTTGACGACGTGAGGCCCAGAGCGCCCCTCGCCCCTCTGCAGAAGGCTCTGCGCGGGCCTCCAGGCAGCGTCCCTGGCGCCACACTCACTGGGCGTCTGCAGAGCCTGCTGGGGCTCCCCCAGGTCCACGTGAGCCTGGGTCTTCAAAGTGGGGTGCAGGCGATGGGACACTCCCGCGGAGGCTCCCCCCAAGCTCACCACAGCCAGGGTGACCCCAGACAGCTTCCAGCCAACGGCGATTCTGCCCGAGCCACATCGCCTGCTTCTCTGACAGCTCTGACGCGATCCCATCCCCGGGGGGACATGGCCCAGGCGGGAGATGCAGGAACAGCCAGGCCGCGGCCGCCCCTGACGGACCAGCCTCTGGCTGCCGCGGAGGGAGCCATGCGGCCTGCAGGCTGGCAGAGGCGCACCGGG